CGGAGGATATCAATACCCGTCGATGGCTCCAGTCATGGGACGGCCAAAGCTGCCGATGAGACGAGGACGGCGCGGACGGCGCGCGGACGATGGCACCACCGCGTGCCATGCAACGCCCGGAGCTCCGGCCATATCTGCCGACGGTGGGGCCGTTTAGGTCCCGACAGAAGCTGGAGCCGGCCTCAGGTTCTTTACTGGGGTGGTGGGGATTGAAGATTTCGGAGGTTGGTGGACGAGGCCATTTGTGCAGCTTTCGAACGAAGTCTTTAAGAAGTGATTACAGTAAGTAGAATCTTTTTTTGGCACAATTCGGTTCCCTCACCAGCCGCAACTGAGCCGATTTGGATGACATGGCGCAGGGAGCTTCTCTAACAACTGGAGGAGAGACAGGTGTTCGAACAAGGGCCTGTTGGGAGTGTGAGGTGTAGTCTATGTCATTCTGGCGCGGCTGCAGTTCGTGACAGATCTCTTGAATACTGAGGACAGATCTGTGGCACGTTGGCGGCCAATTGGTGAGAGATGTGAGGTGCTGAAGGGAATCACGGGCAAATCATCCATGTGCGTTCAATTGCAGCCAGATCGTTGGACTAAAAACTCCCGACAGCATCAAACACAATGTAGCTCCTGGCATTGCTACTAGTAGCTTCTTGCTAGTAGTATTGCCAGGAGCTACGAACGTAGTGTCCTGGTTAGTAGTTGCGATGCACCTTGTTACGTTCGTAGCTTCTTGTTACTCCCCATCGTTCGCCAGGACGTGCGGTCCCTTGCTCGCCTTCCGGCCCGGGTCCGAGCAGGGAGTTTGGAAGCCTTTGATCCTTTGTAGCAGCAGCATGGGGCAAAGAGCAAGGTGCCGCATGTGGTAACCATGGTATGCCGAAATGAACCATGTGTGACGTGTCTCAAACCTGAAGACGGTGACTGGGTCCTACAACTGTCTACCACTTGCAGCCCCCATGTTCCATTGCAGGCCTTGCAGGTGACCACCTCGCTGCCAGCCCTGCCGAAAATGGAGGCTGCAACAAGGTGTGGTCCCTTGTGGGCAGATGTAATGTTTTGAATTGGGAACTTTGTAGGTGTGGGTAACATAAATTGCCTATGGGACCTCTGTGCCAACGGTTTCGGCGTTTCTCTTCATCGACCTACAGCCCAGCATGCAGGTCTTGCATCACTGACCCCAACTTCAATTGACCTGAAACGAATCAAGAAATTTGTGCCTGTGCCCCCCATTGTTCAAAACTCCCAAATATTGCTCAAATACCAATACCGCCAATACCAACTGCCAGGTCGGTGCCCTCCTCTGCTTCCATGGCCAGGGGCCTCGGAGGGTTGACGGTGATCACACCAACAACCCTTGCTTCGCAGACGGGATGTCACAACCCCAGGCCAGAGGGGGTTCTTTCGGTGGGGGCGAGAGAAGAGTCACAAAATAGCCAGCGCCTGGACCTGGACTTCTGGGGCCGTCAGAGCTATCAGAGCTCCCTGGGTGACCTTCCCACTCTCTAAGGCCAATCTGTGGCGAGTCTGGAGGCCCCAGTGGGGGAGGCCCTACAGTGTACGGGTGTGGCCCGAAAAGCGGCCGTTTTGGCAGTCTTGGACGGGGAGATGCCAACCTTCACAGCAGGGTCAACGCACTCCCGGATCTCACAGCTACTCCGGGCCAAGGATGCTGACAATCTCCTCCGCGGCAAGGAGGCACCCGCTTTTCGCCGCCGTGTAGGGATGCAAGCTGCATCAGATCAGCCGAGATCAGCTGCGAAAGGTCTTCACCACCGGACCCGAGTCATCGCACGTCGGAATGTTGGACGTCTCTCTCCGATCGGGGAACGGCGGAGCTTCGATTTCCGGTCCAATCCATCGCTCGAGACCGGTCTCGACGCACCAGGCAGAGCTTCCAATCTTGAAGCCTCCCGTGGCCCACAAAGTTTTGGGTCTCGGTCGAGAGGCAAGGGCGCCAGTGGCGGACGGCGCATTTTTAGATGTAATATTTCATATATACATATTTTTACAGTTGACAGTAGCATTCTTTAAGAAATGTCGGTCGGGACGCGACTAGGCGGGGAAGGTCGCAAATTCTGAGCTTCCCAAGGGGTGAAGTCGGTCGGATGGGATTATGGGGAGTTGCTTGATGCATTGAAGATAGCAGGGGGTCAACTTGGAGTGGGTTTTGACACACACACACACAAACAGAATGGACCTGAAGTGCTGAACTCATTCTGTGCCTGGCTATCGACATTTATTGACCTACACGAGACGACACCACTGTCAATGTGTCTCAGGCGGTGGGAAGAAGGAGAGCACATGCAGCAGGGGTCAGTCGTGGGCGGTTGGAAGCCGCTTCAACCCTTCGAACTCTGCAAGATGCGGTGCCTAGGCCCAATAGAAAGGCCGAGTAGGACCACATGGATCTCCACATTGAGAGAAAAGCAGATCCCCAGTAAAAATGTATTGGAAGCCGTTTCTAGGCCTTTAGGTTGTCAGAAGAGCTTCAATTGGATGAACTGCGCGTTCCTTTTTGGTGTGGTTCACTGAACCGGAAGGGGGTGAACCAACCACTTCGAAGGATCCACACCGTCGGTTTCGGCCGCGAGGAGATCGATCGTGGCAAGTCGGGAGCCTTGAGATGCTTTCGCTCTGCGTCTCCGTCGTTGGCCGAAGAAACCCGACGGTGGCAGACCCGGCCGCCCCGAACCGAAATCGCACCATCCGACCCAGACCCGGTACGAAGCAACAACCCGAACATCGCCGCCGCCCGTACCCGAAGAAAGCGCTACAGTAGATCTTGATCGGCCCGGCCCGTCCACTCGCCCGCGCTCGAAGAGCGGTGACCTGTTTGGCGCCGCGCCGCGGAGATGCCGTTGAACCCGCATGGTGAGGAGGGAGGCCTTTTCTCGTTCCGCCCCCCGTCCAGGGCCACCGTGGGGGTCTACACATGGTTTACGGTGGTTCCGATTCGTTGTGCAGGGCTTGAGGTGACGAACTCATGCCGGTGACTTCGTGCACGGTGTGGAACACTTGTCGGCGAAGCAGGAAGAGAGGAGCATGATTTACCGGCACTTGTCACTATCTTTCAGATGGTTAGCGGTGTCCTGGATCGTTGGTACACGCGAATTCTCGCTGTTGTTCTAGATCAGGATGAAACGATCATCTAGGAAGAGACTGGTTCAGGGTTTAGCTAGTTTGTTTGGATGCAGAACAGGTCCCCACCCCATCCCCACCCCCGACATCCCCACCCCATGAAGTCCCTTTTTGGAGTTGGTTGGATGCAGAACGATCTCAACCCCATCCCCCCCATCCCCCCCATCCCCACCCCCCGCTCCCGCTCTGTGTGCGCAGATGATCCAGATTCTGTGTGCGCAGATGGTCCTCTGTCCATACCCGCCCACCATCCGAGCTCGTCGTGCACGACAGCTCCAGTGGCGGTTCCCGATGCTACCGGTGGAAGTGGTAGAGCAAAATAGCCTAGCAGTGCTGCACCAACCACACATATATTAGATCACCCTTCCCCTAAGAAATTAATTGGAGGAGGGTTGCCCACGAATAGGTTCTTTTTCAACTGTTTTCTAATCTGACAACTTGTCGACAAGTTTGGCCAACACCCAAGTCGGATAAACAAATGTACCTTGGATCAAGCTATCAAACTAAACTAATCGACCCCTCCTCCAGAGGCCAACGCCCCCCTGAGAGTGGTGGCTGCTTTCCTGTGTGCATGCGGTGGCCAATTTCTTGCCTGGTTTTTTGAGCACTGCTCACGTATTACTTTGGCATGGCTGTGGAAGGGGGGGTTTGCCACCTGGGAGTGGACATATATTGAGGGGCTTGTGAGGGGTTGAGGGGTCGAGGAGTTAGGGGGGGTTCCTAAGCAAAATTTATAGACAATTAGTTGATGGTTAAAGATGCCCCTATTAATTTCTAAAAGCCAGGCATATGCTCCTTGAGTGAATCTATTAATTGAGGGGGTCCCCCCAGGGCGCTATCTAACATAGGGGTCATTATATATCAGTAAAGCAAAACACATACATACATGCGTGCATGCATGCACGCACATATATACATATATATATATACATACACACATATATATATATACACATGCAATTTCTATGTATACATTCATTCACACATACATACACACCAAATCAATGATTGGATGATACGGGCCCCCCACGAATTGTTTGAGTTTTGCTGGTGAAAGCTGCCATGTCGAAGTCCATTGTTACAAGGTCAAGGCGGCACATCCAGGACGCACGTCACCCTAGGACAGCGTGTTTCGTCACCCACACGATCCTCAGTGCATGTAGTTCCCACCCTCCCACTGCACTCGCCACACCCCCGGCGTTTGGCTCTTGTTTTTCACGTCACCCAAAAAACTAGCCTAATTCCTTGCAACTATGACATCGGAACGACCGGTCTAGGATGTGTAAAGAAGGCAGAAGGCATTTTTAACTTTATTCCCCAAAGGCCATGTCCATACAGCCGTAGAAGAGACATTTTTTCAACTGCGTGTGGTTGTTGATGAGTTCAGCCTGATGGTTGAGGTGCCCCAAAGCCAGCTCGCCCTATACCACCCAGCCTGTGGGGGTGCCCAGCGGTGTTTTCGGACATGGACTCCTGTGACATACAGCTGGCGAGAGGACGAAGGCGGTAGGCCGGGGTAGGCCCGGGTTGGACATGCTCCAAAAAATCCCCGAGTTGGCAATCTTTTGGATGTTGGTTTCTCTGGGATAGATATGATATAGATAGGATAGACTCCCAAGCAACCAATGAATCACCAGCGGCTTCCGTCCTGGGCGAGAACCCTGCCTTGACGGTGACGGGCCCCGCTCTGGCAGGCCACCTCAGGCGGGATCGAGACAGCGAAAGAGCTTGGGGTTGACGTCATTCATGCGGTGTGGTGGAAGTTCCCATGCACATACTTATGATGATGTATGTTGACATGCTACTCGTGGTGCACATGATCTTGAAGTTCCTGCACTATTGCCGCAAATTGGCAAATTGCCCGGATGTGGTTATGGTGGAGCGAATTGCCTCATGATATGGAAGCATTCGGCCCGTTTGGCTATCATTTCGATCGGGGCTTGGGGCAACTCAAGGATGGGCAACGGCGTGAAGAACCGCACAGGTGTCACAGCCACAGTCATCGCTATCACCCGCAGGCCAGGGAAGATGGCATTCGTTCTTCAATGGAGGCAGACACCAAAGCCCCCAAATGTAGACTGTTGCTTTAGAGCTCCCCCTGGTTTTACATCTCAAAATGAGGAGCTTTAGTAATTTACACTCAACACTAGGTTTTTTGGAACAGCTCTTCGCCGTTGCAGGGCAATGCATGCCATGCGCCCCGCAGTATCACAGTGAAGTTTGGCTTCAAAGTGGGATGTCATCGACCTGTGATTGGCATTTTCCAAAACTGTAGTCCTTGCTGAATGGATTCCAGAAGGCAGAAACACGTCTCGGAGTCGCTGGCTGACGAAGTCAGAAGTGGCACCAATCTTTAAGGAAACGTATACTCCACTCTTTTGCGGAGGTCCAAGCCACTTATACATATAGAAGCAACAATTACGACCCAACGAGGCAGGCTTCGCTTGAACCCAACTCTGCGCGTCGTGCTAATTACAGAGCCACACAAGTTGGGAAACCACGCCAGAACTGAGAAAGATGTATATGAAGATATTCAAAACCCTGAAGCACGGAACTTAAATTCCAAGATCAACGTGTGTGTATACTGTATATATATATACGCAGCAGCTGAAAATAGAATTTCAAGCCGACAATCTTGGCGGCGCCCACTGGCGCCTTGCAGCACAGTCCGAGGTACAGCTTTCGAAAAAAAAATGGAAAAGGGGACCCTCAACGACCTCCTGGCGAAGAGAAAAGACCCCAACTCCTTCCCAAATTTACACACCACCCGAACTGGGTGCTGCTGGAAGGTCCCTCCCAGGACCCATACAAACCCGCCGCAGGCAGGATCGTTTTCCGAATGTGCCAGGAGCGAAGATCGAGAGCAAGCGCCGCTTTTCTATCCAAGGCCGACCAAGAGCCGCGCTTCGGGCGCATTCCGTGTGGCAGCAAAATTGATCTGACGCTCGGATGGGAGAGGCATATTAGAGGCGATCCCCCAGTTGCAGCTGTCAATTTCAACAAGTGCTTTTTAGCAAGTGCACTGGCAATTTTCAAGAGGAAGGTGTACAGCCTTCCCCAGGCACCTTAGCCAACGATGAGCTTTATGTCGCGGAGCAGCTCGCAAAGGCCAGGGCATTGCCTTTTGTGATCGTTTGTTGTAGAACCATGGTACGGAAAAGCGTCACAGAGAGGTGTAGCATGGTGTAGCTGGAAAGGAATGCTAGTAAGTTGCGGCTCGAGGAAGGGTCGAAATCTTTGACCGCTCCGGTGGACCGCAGTCGGTGGGCACACAGAGGTCGACACAGGGTGCACGTGTTTCCATGTGGTTGTGAGGTCGTGGAAGGGGCCACGCCGGAGAAGACTCACACTGAGGTGGTCGGGGCGACTGATGAGGTCAAACCTTGAAAAAGTCTTCAGTAGACCCTGACAGATCAACCCCCCCAAAAGGTTTCGATGATCTGCGCAAAATTCGTTGGAACAGCTCCTTTGGGTGAAGTGCCTCACTTTCTCACGGGTTTCTTGTGAACGTTTGGACGAGAGAAGAGTCTTCTCGCATGCGCAGTGTTGCAGTTGAGATGGCCCTCTCAACACAACTCCTTCAGCACTAGGTAGAGAAGCTGCCCAATTTGCTTACACACTGACAGCCTCATATTGTTGTTGGACTCGAGATGTTAAGTGAAAGTTAGAAGAAGTTGACAAACGCCTTCCCGTCCGCCACATGCTATTTCTTGCTGGCACTACTTGCCCTTTAGTAGTTCTATTATGTTCTATTCTTATGAGGAGGGAATTGTCATGAAATTCGCGGGAAGAAGAGGAAGAAGGAGAAGAAGAAGAAGAAGAATACACTTGACACTCTAAGTGAGGAGCTCTAAAAGGAATCGGATCCAAAAAAGAAGACCATGCCCTTTGCTAGCCCTTGAGGGAATCGAAGTTCCGATGCCTGCCACTTGTGCGGGCGTGTTTCTCCCAAACCAGATGATGGCTTTTAGGCTCCTCTGCCCTGCCAGGATGACCGCTGGTGGAGTGCAATTTTCCTACCGCTGCCCGCGCCGCGGCAGCTGTTGCCAGAGGTGCTGATTGATCAGAAGGGCTTGGCGTGGGGCTCAGCCAGCTCTCGCCGACCACTGCGACCGGTTGGACCCTGGAAGACAACGATCTCGGCTGGGCGTGTGTGCCTCATGACCAGCATTCAGGCACACACCTGAGGATTGGCTGAGGATGAGGGTTCATCCTGCAATTGGACGGGGGAGGTGCTTGAGGATTTACCACACCCGCCACTGATTGTAAGGGGTCTCCGAAGACAGTGAAAGTGACGCTCGGAAGTGTCAGGCAGACCCAGCTCCCCAGGGTTCAGGTTCCTGTCTCCCAGCATGGATGTTGGAATGATGGATGGTTTGGACCCAGCTTCTTGTGAGAACCGGGTCTGACCGTGACCGCGGACCGCCGTGACTGCCTTGCACAAAGAGGTCCGCGATCCTGACCCTCGAGAGCGCGAAAAGGTGCAGGCGAGAAAGAACGCGTCGTTTTATCCCGTCGTTTCATCCCGTCGTTTTTCATGGTCTTCAAGCGGTGCGACGGTGCGACTACTCGGTGCAGTCGCTCGATCGGTGGGCCGATCGGTCACTGTCTTTGCGCCACGATCGTGTCTGGCATTCCACCCGGCGACGCCACCGCTGGCTGCGTCGTGGCACAACTGCATGACGGCAGGCCAGTGTGAAGCTGACCTGCGAGGAGCTCGAGGAACTGGTGAGGGTGTGCAACTGCTTCGCACGCATGGTGGAGCCACCATACTTGGAGGCCGCGAAGCGACCGGAACGGGCGATTTTTCGATGGGTCCCCCTGGGCGTGCGTCATACGGGAAACGAGGTGCCACTGCCATTCACAGAAGTCCAGACACTTGGGACGTTTTCGAAGCACATCTCCCAGTGTGTGTTCAGGTCTTTGTGATACATGTCAGGCCTGTATGTGCTTGAGGCCCTACGGGCCCTACGGCTCGTGTTCAAAGCAAAGCCTGGAAGCATGTTCGGTGAAACGAATCCAGAGTTAGTCTCTAGATCTATTTAGCGGGCCTGAATTCAATACACCATGCATCACCCCACCTTACCCAACGTCGCCATATATGTATATATGTATATATGTGCATCTACATATTGGCACAGATGGCGGATCTCTACACCACTACACCATGCACCAATGAGCGGGAAATCTTCGCTCACCCACATGCTTAGATACTCGTAGAGGATCCACATTCTCTGACATGCACTGCAGAGGTTCCCTCCACCCTGGCTCACAGGCTGACGAAGAGAGCCAAAGCGCAGCCCTCTTGACCAGGCGTGGTGCTTTCATTACCCAGTGGAACAATTCATCCCGACAAGCTGAACATGTTCCCAAGGCCCACGGAAATGGACCCTCAAAAACCTCTCATTTTTTTGGACATTACTAGACTGGATCCTTTGTGAGGGACTTGTCCAAGAGTTCCAAAGTGGGCGAGGTTCAAATCCATTCTCCATTCTTGCCACCACTCTTGGCACACATGCTCTTCACCTCCTGGCTCTTCTGAGCATTGGTGTGTGGTGCGGTCTTCGCGGCCAGGCAGTCGTTCTGTCAATTGATCCTGTCCATGGGCCTCACATCGATGGAGAAATGCATGGAGCCACTGGGCCGGAAAGAAAGGCAACGGGGCGACCCACAAAGGGCCTAATGAGGGAAGGGAAGGGAAGGGGACACCGACACGTCAAAGGCGCTTGGGGGAGAGACCTGCACGTGTCATGCCGAGCAACAAGACGTCGGAGTGGACTTGGACTGAACAGCGGCTGGACCGTGTCGTGAGGACCGAACGACGATGGTCGAACCCTTCAGACCATCCGACGAGGCCACGCTACCATCGCGCGTTGGAGTGCTTCGACGCAGAGGCGAGACCTGTGCGTGAGAGCGAGCGCCCGAGACGTATGGAGGTGAAACCGCTGGCTGCTAGGAGCCATGCGAGGACTGCTAGGAGGAATCGGTCCGGAACCTTTCCGCAACGTTTCCCAGTTTTAGACCTCGAAAATCCTAGAACCAATTCCAGTGGAACTGTTTCTGGAAGATAAGACCTCCCCCAAAAACCCAAACGACACCTGGATCACGCATGTGAGTCATGCGAGCCGTGCGGACTCGAGCTCCCCACGCCCTCCGCGGTCTCCGGCCGAACGAACGCGGTCTCGGTCTCCGGTCTGGGACGGTCTTGCGGGTTTCACGAGGCCCAGAGTTGCGAGGTGCCGGGCATCGCCCCCTATGGACGACTGGTGATGGCCGTGAGGTGGGGATGACCACGGACCGCTGCGCGGTGCTGGTGTTTGCTGTTGGGTGATCCACGCGCGTCGCAGCGTCCGTTTGGGGGCGGGCGCGCGGGCCGGCGCGCGCGCGCGCGGTGTCCGGAGAAGAGGGCGGTGACCGATGCCGGACCGATGCCGGGTGATTCGCTGGGATGGATGCTGCTTGCTGGGGGTCACTGGCTCGGTGGCTTTCGTGAGGCTGCCAGCTGTGCCCGAAAAGGCCGGGAGAGTGGCGGGTTCGGAGAGGTGGAGCTCATGTCCATAGTGGTTTCTATCTGCTGGTCGTATGTGTTATGTGTGGCACAGTGAAACCGGTGCATTTGCCACGTGGGGGATGACCCGGAAATCAAAGCTTACGGGGTCCATTTACTGCTACAGTCTGTCTTTGTGTCTCGGTGGACAGGAACATCTATCAGTTGGGGTGATGATGGGAAAGCTCCAAGACCATAGGACACTGCGACACCTTTGGTATTGGTACTTTTTGAAGTGTGGCGGTTCCAAAGAACATAAGTTCCATCAACAACATTGTGGGCACCACTCAAACTCCAGGCCCTTGCTTGCCCAATGTTTCGAGCAGAAACAACTTCTTGATCCCCCAACCCCATGTCTTGAGATCATCAAGAGGGCCAAGTGCCACGGTCCCCGAGGCGCTCTCCGGGGCCTATTTTTTCCGTTCTAGCAGGATCTATCAGGGACCTCTTTCTTGCACAAGGCCTTCATAAGGTTCGAGACTTAGGCTCCGGCCACTCCTGAGATCCAGCTGTGGACTGGTGGACCATCTGCCAGGACAATCAGTCGGCACTGGACGCCTTGGTGAATGCCATGGCCTCAGGGTTCTCCCAACGAAGGGTGGTGCAGACAAGTTTTCCTATAGCGCAACGGGTTCCTTGAAGAAGTGTGAGCTATCCTTCGCCCACTTACTGGAAGCGTCCAGTACCTAATAGAGCTACAAGCTACTCTAGCGGCTTCCCCTCCCTCTTAAGGGGCTAAAAGAAAAACGGGACCTGTTCTAGCAAGATTTGTCGCGGAGCATTTTCCATGGCTTGGCTCGTGCTCACCACTGCGGCAAGTTCATTATCGACTTCCATGTTTCAGTTCGAGTTTAGAGAGTTTAGATTGTTTCCTTGCGGCAATTGCATCACCCATGGACCCATGCTCGACCAAGTGTATCGGACGAAAGGCCGGATGCATCCGCTGGCTTCATGTGCCCAGGACCGGCTCACGCCGCGCCTGACCAGGTGGCTTGGCTGAAGACGAGTTGCTAAAGCGGCGCGCCCTCCGTAGCCCCAAGAATTTCAATACCTCACCACGCACATCCTGCTCGCATCTGGCTCTGTCTCAGCTCTGGGCGGAAGACCTGCGGAGGCTCTTTGGGCGGCTGCTGGAAGACTTGGCGACGAACCCCTTTTGGGAGGGCCAGGAGCGCTGGGACGTCCCAGGCTGTGGCGCGTTTGAGGCTGAATTCGCGGGCTGGTATACTTTTAGAGGTTGCCAATTGAATGTTTGATCATGTTGATGGGGGAAGTCCCAGCATTTTTTGGTCCGGGGTCGCCTCGAGTGGTTTGGGAGGTGTCTATCCAAATGGGGCGCTCGGGCTCATTTTGGAACATGTGGGCCCAGGGTTCCTGTGCCTCAAGTGCTTCGCAGAACCAACCCTTTCATGCCAGAACCAAGAAGCATCAAAAAGCATCAGCCAGTGCCGTCATGGATGATAGAGCCGTTTCAATGCATTATGTGTTTTGACTAAGAAGTTGCCATTCCTACGCTTTGTGTGTATACCACGAGCATACCACCATAAACCCTATAGGCCCTCTGGGCATGAACCCGAGGCAGCATAGGCTCGGCCTCCTTGGAAAAGAGACCGAGCCTCGCCCTGGCAGATCCGCAGCCGAGACCGGGGAGGTTCCAGGAACCAGCCCCTCCTCTGCAGGAGATGGCCGAGGCCTTGCCGCGAGCCAAGAAGTACTTCTTCTTCAAGATGCTCCCAGCCGCCCAGGCGCAGCCCGGCTCACCGCCGCCGTGAACCGTGGGCTTTTTGTGGTTTGCGGTTTCAGGTCGGAGAGGGTAGGGGCGGTTGGTGACTGGAGAGTGGCGAGGTCTGGAGATCCAAGAAATGGACATGCAGGAATGGACATGTTTTTCGCCCATGATGGTGTGCTACATGTAGTGGACACTGATAGGCTATTGATTGACTGGTAGGATAGGACTATATAGATGATAGATGATAGATACTATCGTATTGAGATGAAATGGAAGAGTAGAAAGGACTATGAACAAATGCAAGGGGTGCCTTCGCTTCTCCCAGGCCTATGGAGATGAGCGTCTTCAACTTCTCCAAAAGAAGGCCGGGCCAATTGACACATGCAATGACACACTGACAAGCACAAGTTCATTTTGTTCCCTGCCACGGGGTAGGAGTGGAATCTGCAAAACCATAAGACATCGATCCTTTGATTGCAAGCTGCGAGGGGCCTGGGGCCTGTTGCCAGTGGTTTGGCCGACAAACACGCAACATGTTTCGCTGCCCAGGGACATGGAAAGTGTAAGCTGCTTGGATCTATGTCTGCTATTGTTTGCTACTGTGCAGCGAGCCATTGCAAGATAAGCGGTATCTGCAGTTGTCGTGGGCCAACGGTTGAAGTGCCATTCTCCTAAGGCCCTATGCACTTTGCAATCCTTTGCAATCCGACCTACAGCATGGTTGATTTCAGTCTTGACCGACCAAGACGGCACCAGGCGGTCCAATTGAAGCAAAGTAGACAAAGCAGAAGTGCTGATCTCAGCCCTGGTGCCTCGAGCCAGTCCTGGCGCCTCGAGCTGGCATGTGAGAAGGGATCTTTCACTCACCTCGTCGTGTGGGGTTTGCCGATTCAAGATGGGGCGATTTATAGCCACTGATTTTTCGTTGCATGCCCATTATGTATCTCATGTATCGCCTCAGCGCCTCCAAACTGAGGCATCAGTTCCTCAAGCATTCAGCAGGAGGAACGCACCTCAGGCGGACCTTGTACACCATGGTAGACGATCCATACACATCCGCGTTGTGTGCAGCTGCCCGAGAAGGCAAAGATGTGACCTGAAAATCCCACAATGATCCTTTTCCGGTGCCTTTGACATGTCCAGTATTTCTTAAATTGAGGATGCCAGTGAACGGGACCCTGTCCTATGCCCTATGCCCTGTGCCCTATTGAGGATGACTGCGAATAGATGACATCAGCAGGACAACAAGTTACGGAGAACGAAGAATCCAGGGCCGACTCGCCGAAGGCACCAGCCTCCATGTAGAGAACCTGACCACTCTCTTACAGTGGAACGTGGTGGAACCAAAGAGGAAATATTGGCGGAGAGTCTGGGGGACCCTGGGTTTTCCCACAGAAAATGACCAGAATGGACTACGTTTGGGGCTCCGGGTTGGGACCCACAGCCATATCATTTCGTGCCTTGCCTGGGGTTGATGCATGCGGCACCCCTTTTACGCCAGGCGAGGTGGATGCAAAAGCGGTGAGCCACTTGCGGGGTGTGTCAGCAGGCGCTTTGGAAAGAACGGAATTGCCATGGGGCAACGAGAGCATAGAGATATCTATATATATATACACATATATCTTATTCATATACCCTGCGTCTGTCCTACCTGCAACAGTCAGTCAACAAGCATATCACCATTTTTTTGAACAAGGCCAGCCACCCAACCATCATCATTTAACCCTCGTAATGGGATAGACTTCCCGAGCTGATTCCTCGGAGAGTCTTCCGGAAAAGTGTTCATCTATGGTTTGGATTGCTTTTTGTTTGTTGGCTCCTAGTAGTAATGCCAGGGACTGCTAGTAGCGTCCTTGCTCGTACTAGCGATGCCATTTCCATTCTCAAACTGAAAACACCCCATGTATATATATATATATATGTCTCAGTAAAGATGAGCGTTTTCCGGACCTTCCTCTCAAGGGCATGTTTTCAGGACTTAGTTGGTGGGTAGAGGCTGCCACTGCTGTCTTCGACTTGTCCACGCGTGCCTCCTGTCCGTTCCACTGCAGTGGATCCTGCTTGCCGTGGTTCGTTGCCGGCCTTTCCTTGGGCCTCATATTGGCTCTTTTCCTTCTCCTTGCTGCTTTCATCTACTTGGTTCCTCTCCTTCACAGGGGACGGCACACCCCGTTTGATTTCACTCGGCTGGAGGTGGTCCAAAAGAGGCCGGTGGAGGTGGATCGTCAAGCCAGGCTGGCAGCCTACGTTGACTAGTGGATGAGTTCTAGTGTCACAAAGGAGGACATCCACTTGTTGATTTCTGCTGTGAATCGCTTGAGCATTGCCTTGGAACGTGGAGCATCTTTGGTTTCTTCTTCTCCTTCATCCAGCAGCCCGGTCATCACCATTGCTGGTTGGGAATTTGTGGAGCCTGGAGCCGATCAGCCGTATATTGTTGAGATCGACCGCCTGAGAGTGTTTGAGGACGGGCCCCAACCGGTGCCTGAGCACCTCTTCATTTCAGCAGCTCCTCGACTCTCCAACGTTGCAGGTGATCCCAAAGAGAGAATCACACGTGCTTGGCGGGCTGGTTTTTGGTGCTGGGCGGCTGTGGCTACCCACTCTGAATACAAGCAGGCAGAGGCCACCTCGGTCTCAGACACCCAGTGGCTGATTTTTCGTCACTCCCGGGTTTCAGCTCCAGTGAGGGTTCGCAAGATTACAGATTTGAGGCTTTTGCTCGCTTCTCAAGCCCCTCACAGTGATCCAGCAGTCTACCAGGGCTTCGCATCGATTACGGAGGTTCAAGTGTGCTGCGCCAGCTACGGTGTAGGGGTCCCTCCCCTATACCAATGCAAAAGTCAGAATTGAAGTGTGCTGGAGACAGGGTGGACTTTTCCTTGATGGTGGCCACCCTTACGCCTCCAGTGGTGGAGTCAGTGACAGAGCTTTTTGTGCTGCCTCTCATTGCTCGTGGAGACTGTTTTCTTGCATGTATCCCATATGGGGTGTTGGACGAATCTTTTATGGCTGAGGGGTCTGGTTTGCAGCTTGCACCTTCCTGGCTTGGCATGGGCTCACTTTTTGACGTTCCGCTGATTGAGGAAGGCGATGATGGTGCTATGGTTCCTCTTGGTATTAGTGGCCCGGTGTTGGTCATTGACGTCAGTGATGAGTTCCTGAACTTTGCCAGAATCTTCGACCCAGTGACAGATTCAGACATTGAAATCGTCCCGTACCACCCTGACAATACCTCGTGCATTCCTCAAATTGATGTTCTCTGGAAGCGTGTCAAAGAATGGCTTCAGGAGAGGACAGATCAGATGGCAGCCTTTTATTCGGCTCTAGAGGACCCGGAGGTGGCTGTCAAGGCAAAGGCTGGTCAGAGGAAGTCCACTGCGGCCCCGAAGCGGGTCACAAACGCCGTCCTCATGGAGCAGCTCAGTGCACTCACTACACAAATTCAGGTTTTGTCGGCACGCCAAGATTTGCTGGAGGGGTCGCAGAGCAACTCTGCAGCTGCTGGGAGTTCAAAGCCTGCAGAAGCTGTTGGAGGGCGAGGTGGTGGAAATATCAACAAGCTTCCGGACTTGTCCGCAGGGCTCGATTTCGTGGAGGGCCCATCTCTTTCGGTAGCAAAGGCTTTACAAGTGGTGGGACCTCCGCCCAGGACAAGAATGGGACAGACCACATCACCCTTGTCAAAGCATGTCAAACATCAGAGTCCGGAGGAGCCAGATGCGCTGCTGGTTGGAAGCTCAGGCAATGCCGCTCAAGATCCAGAGGCTATCATCAACGCCCTCTCTCAACAGAGCACTGCCCTGACAGCTTTGGTTGCTCACATGACCCAGCAAGGAGGAGATCCGATGCTAGATTTACAATCCGGCTTTATGAGCTCCTCAAGCATGAAGGGAGTTCAGAGACGCGAGAAGCTGCAGGCAGAACTGGCAGCTCGCAGCGGCAACTTCTTCCTCCTGATGATGCAACAGGTGCACAAGAAACTCCATCCAGGTCGAGCTCTTCCTCGAACAGAACAGGAGCTGGGCAGTGTTTCAATGGTGGAGTATTTGGAGAAATCCGGAGGGTACAAAAACCAGAAGACTTTGGGGCTCATACAGTGGATCCTGGCTCATGCGACCGATGCTGCAGCCCAAGAAGATTTTGCTGGTATGAAGGAGATTGGTGCTTTGCTTGCTATGTCGGTCGAACAGGCCAATTACGACAATGGGGATTGGGCTGTGGCATACCTCGTGAGTTTGCACGAAGACCCTCCTATACAGCTGTTTCAGGAACGCTCGGTCCAGGTCTCGACAACCAGCAGGCCGTTCAGCCCGTTGATACCCCCTGCCTGGACAGCCACGACCTTGAGTTACATCAAGGACTTGGAAGTGTTGGCAAACAAGAAGCCCGACCTTTCGAAGCGAACAGGACAGCAGCAACAAAAGGAGCAAATTTCCGAGACCCCTCAATCCGGATCTTCAAAGAGGAAGCCCCGCTATCCAAAGCGCCCCAAGGCGGGCGCGGAAGGTGCCCAGTGACAAAGAAGAAGGACTGCATGAGGTGCAAGGCTGGCTCCAGAGCGAGTTTTCCACCGGTTCCTGATAGAATTCATGTTAAGTCAAAAATTGGCTATGAGAATGTCCCCAAGGAGGTCCTTGACACAGAGGAGGGTAACTTCAAGCTACACTCTTCTGCACAAATTCCTCGGGCTCTTTCTTTTTGGCTTTGGTGTTCTGGCCTGCTAAAAATGGTGCTACGGTCGAGAACTCCTTTTGCCGCATTTTTGTTGTCCACTCTACATCTGCAACGAGGCGACTCTGCCTCGGCCTCGCCGCCTTTCCCTGTCCCAGTGCCTTGGTGTGGCATTTTTGACAGTGCCGTCTGGGTTATCTCTTCGTGCTCGAAGGCGACTTCATATGTTGAGGGCTGTTCACATTCTGGTGATGGCCTTGAACTATGGCATGGAGGTTTGGGAGCTTTTCCCAACGAGAGCCTGTTGACGAGGTGCCCTTCAAAGGCTCATGTGCTGATCTACAAAAGGTTGAAGGGCATTTTGGCGGCCGACGGCCCTGCTTCTGGGTCCTTGAGATTCTGGTCAGTGGCCGAAAGTTTCTAATTAGTTGCACGTTTGGGTGAGCTCTCGGATCAGATCACCTACCTTGGAGCGTCTGGGCCGTATGGAAGGATGTTTCTTGGAGTTGAAGTCTCCGCTGACAACCTTGTGGTTTCTCAGTTGCAACCTTACCGTGATCTGAATGCTCAGAGGCTCAAGATCACTGGTCGTGGCCATTTGGATGCAACTGACCATCTCGATGATGATTTGTGTATGGCATACCGTGTGCCTCACCTCCTCCTCACAGGCTATTCTCCACAGCCTGGGGAGTACCCAGTTGTCAGAGACCAAGCTGATGTGATTGTGGCCCTTGCTCGCGTATGGGATGCCAATGGAATGTGCTTTTTACTGGACCAGATGTTCCGGCGTGCAGCCTTACAAAAGTTTTCAACAGCCTGAAGGATGAGCAGCAGGATCAGACTTGCTGGATCTCCACCTGGATGTTGGGTTTGAGACTTTTCGCATTTGCTGCACAGACAGAAAAGATTTTTATCATCAATTCTGGGTGTCGGAGTCCAAAGTGAAGAGCACCGCAGTTGGCCCTTCCGTGCCTTTGTCCTCAATACATGGATTGCGTTGCTATGATGCTTTTCTTGAGAGAAGGGTAGGGGCGAAGAGCAAGAAGCAGCTTCATGACATTGTTGGAGATCAGCTTCATGAAGGAAGCTCTCTGTGCCAGGGTTTGGTCATTGATGACTATTTTGCAATTTCCCGGGAGCCTCGCCTAGCATCTGTTGACAAGAGCGCAGCCTTTACATGTTTTCAGAGAGCCAGAAGATCTACTCACACCACAAAATACTTGGCTCCGCGGCAAAAGATGTGGTAGGGCTTCGGAGGAGCAAGGTTATTGGTGTGGGGTTGAATGCAGGTGATGAGGCAGCACGAAATCGCATTGCTACTTTGGGTTCACCAGTTGCTAAGCGGTTGTCTCTATCCTGGTTGACATTGCAGAGCGTACAGCTTTCTCATACACCAGATGCGTTGCATTTATGTCTTTTGGGGGGCTGGACCTCGATGCTGATGTACCGGAGACCTCCTATGAGCCTTCTGTCAAAGGCACATAGCCTTGTGGATTCCCGGCATGTGGATTCTGACAAGCCCCGCCTTGTTTCTCTTCCCAGGACGGTTGCAAATGAGATGGTGCTGCTAAGCGTGTTGGCTCCACTCATGATGTCTGACCTCGGTGCTCCTTTCGCTGATGAGGTTTTCTCCATAGATGCTTCGGATCACAGTGGGGTAATTACGTCAACAGCATTGCCACAAAACATTGTGCAGCGGCTATGGAGGTCGGGTCCTACAAAGGGAGCCTATACTCGACTCAAGACTCCTTTTGAAGTTTTGATGGAGCGACTGGGCCTGCACGAAGAGATGACAAATCAGGAGGATGGTGAGGTGGCAGGAGGGAGCGATTTCTCAGCTGTCTCAAGACCACTAGCTTTCCGGTATGACTTCATTGAGGTATATGCTGGTTATGCAAGGGTGTCCCAGGCGATGTCGGACTTGGGGTTTACAGTTGGTCCTCCAATAGACATTGCTTTCAGCGATGAGCTTGATCTGGTGCAGACTCGTGTTGTGTCATGGTTGAGCTATTTGTTGACATCTGGAAATCTGGGGAGCATAATGGTTGAGCCTGTTTGCACTACATTCTCACGGATTCCTCGGCCTCCATTGAGATCTGCCACTACCCCGTTAGGTTCGATGTGCAGTGCGAGAGGACAAGAACAGGGAGCATTCTCGCCTTGAGGGCCCTGTTCCTCTTGAGTGTCGCCCATAGGTGCTTCGTCCCGGGACTCTGCGAACAGCCTTGGACGCCCATGATGAGGTTTTTGCAACAGTGGAGAGCACTTGAGATGAAAGACGGCATCAAAACCACTCGCACAGACTCATGTGCTTTTGGCTCCCCCCACCTGAAGAGCTTCCGTTTCTTGTCGGCGTGGCTTGAGACAGTTGACATTGAAAAGAAGTGCGATCGCAGTCATCATCACATTGTGGTCGAAGGCAAGTACACGAAGTCATCAGCATCATATACTTTTCAGCTAGCAAAGGCGATTGCTTCATGTTTTGCTGCTTCTATCCGAGCTCGACAAGCTGCCTTGAAAGACATTGAGGAGGGTAATGTGAGAGGGCTAGAGAATCAGCTCATGAATGCAGTGGCCTTGCAAGCTCCCTGGCGTGAAGTTGAGGCATGGCAGTACCAGACCAGGAGGCACATCAATATACTTGAGCTTAAGAGTGTCGTGCGGCTTGCTGAAAGGCTTGTGAGAAAGGGACAGGCATGCCGTATTGTGAACTTTGGTGACTCCAACGTCATTCGCCGTGCTGCTTCAAAGGGGAGATCTTCTAGCAGAGCACTGACCCCGTTTTTGTGCCGCTATGGTGTTTTGTGCATTGCCGGAGGCCTGTATTTCAGCCTGCCGTTTGTCCCCACTCGGCTGAATACGTCAGACGATCCTACCAGAGATCGGCCAGTTTGGGAACCTTGATTGCATCCCAGTCGTTTCCTTGATGGAGGAAGACATTGAGGCCCTTGATACAGTTGTCAAGTTGAGGAGATGGGCGTCAAATTTGGGTCAGGGGTGCAGTGGACTTTTTGGATTTCATGGACTTCATTTTGCTCAGTCTGGGCAGCGTCGCCATGGACTTCCTTGGATTTCGTCTCATGTTGGCTCACCCTTTGCAACCAATCTTGTTCATCCGCTAGAGTTCGATCAGACGCCTGGTTTTCCAGGCGAAGGCCCTCCCCTTCTGGCTCCATTTCTCTTTGCCTCTTTGCTTTTCCTTTCTCCTCTTTGCTCCTGGCAGTTGGCAGCCTTAGTTTTAGGGGGCGCGTGTTTCACCCGATGCCATGGAATGCTTGGACCCAAGACTCAGGGGGATTGGCATAGAAGAGCTGCTAGACTGGCTCGACCGCCAGTGCCGCAAGGAAGACCTGTTACCGCTGCAACCTCTGAGAATCGTGAGAAGGTGTGGAAGGCGTTTTCAGCTGGTGCACTAGAGCAGGTTTTGATATGCAAGCATGACTGGAGTAGCCAACCCGGGACCTCGAATCAATCAACGAAGTTTACAGTTTTATGGTAGAAGACTCTATGAAGCTGGACGGCCCCACGGAGTTTTCGTTGAGTCGATAAACAGCTTGGTGTCCTTCAAACCAGTGCTACGACGCCAACTGCAGCCATCATGGGATGTTGCTTTTGCTTGCGTACGTAAAGAAAGTCCCCAACACCACATAGCAATGCCGTGGCAAATTTTGGCGGCAATGTTGACAGTTGCACTTGGCTGGGGGTGGTATGAGGTTGCAGGCATTTTGTCACTTGGATGGGGTGCCCTTCTTCAAACTTCTGAGATGACTGGAGCCTTGCGGAAACACCTCCTTTTGCCCTCTGATACGATGAAGTCAAATTCCTTCTGTTTGCTTAGCTTGCAGGAAACAAAAACAAGTTTTACTGCAGCCCGGCATCAAACTGCAAAATTGGATTTTGGAGACCTTGTCCGTGTGTGCGAGCTTGCTTTTAACGATAAAGCTCCGTTCCAAAGACTTTGGCCCCTTTTCGTCCCACACTTTCAGACTGCGGTTCAAAGACCTCCTTGGTGCAGTGAATTTGCCCACATCTGGTCAGAGTGGTTGCAAATCGCTTGATGTCGGGTCGCTTAGACCCGGCGGGGCGACGTGGTAGTTGCAAAATACAGAGAGCCCAGATCTTGTCAGGAGACGGGGACGATGGACAAACGCCAAGGTCTTGGAAATATACATACAAGAGATAGGGTCTTACAGTACATTTTGCAGTTGTCGCAGTTGCAACGTGAACCTGTTTTTGGATTGGCTAAATACTGCAAAAGGCTGAAATGCTGCGACAAGCAAAGATTCCAGGCACTGCCTGGTACCCGCTTTTTTCAAGAGGCTAGCCCTTGTGGCTGAAGTTGTGGGAAGTGATGGGTGGAGTTGGAAGTGGCCTGATGGCCATTTGTTCGTGATCCCGCACTTGCAGAGAGATGGAAAAGAAGGGCCTGTGACCGAATCTTTGTCTCAGTAAAGATGAGCGTTTTCCGGACCTTCCTCTCAAGGGCACCCACCCACCCAGCTCTTGAAACGCGGGTGGAGTTGGAAGTGGCCTGATGGCCATTTGTTCGTGATCCCGCACTTGCAGAGAGATGGAAAAGAAGGGCCTGTGACCGAATCTTTATATAATATTTCGGGACTTAAACTGAACCCGTTTGATCGACTGGGAGCCGAGCTCCAAGCCCTCGCGGCCTTTGCGGCTTGGCGTGGAATGTTGCACCCACCGGGGAGGCTCAGCGACGACCCGCTCGAGCACCTCCCATTTCACCCGGGTGCGGAGCCAAAGCGCGCCGACCGGGGAGGGTTCTGCTGGGGTGAATGCAGAGACTGGAGTGAGATCCAGTCAGGTGGAAGAAGTGCCGGGTGGGTTCCGACTCAGACTGGGGCAAAAAGGGGGCAGAGGGATTTACTTTTTCCGCCGGTGGAGTTGGACCGCGGGTACGGGCACGGGAGTCTTAGACAGTGGTGCCGTGGAAACAGCAAAGACTTGGTGCCAAACCACTGCGCCCAGTTGTCGAAAGACCTGGACGCCATCTCAGAACTGAACGAGGCGGATGTGCGATGTTGGGTGAGAGCCGTTGATGGAACTGTTGACCACGCGAGAGCAGTTGACCTGCATGTACACTCGCGCCTATGCAATGTCTTCCCACTATGAAGTGTGTATGGCATGTAGTGAATCGCCAGATTCGCCCACCCTAGATTGGCCCATACGGCCCATACGTCCGTCGCAGCTCGAATGGCGCGTGTTTCAGGTCTCGTCACCGAAGATGCTGCCAATGGCCAAGCCAAGGCGTCAGAGTATGACGACACGGGGAAGACTTGACGTCAGATGTGTTGGCTTAGGGTTTGGAATCGCCCGAGAATGGGGCGTTGGATGACTTCCCCGGAAAGACTAGGATAAGACTGCGTAAAACACCAAGACACGTCCAGTTGGAAAGGAATATGTTCCCCAGGCTTCTTTCCATAAGTTGGGTCTAGAGGGTACAGAGTTGGGCAGAGCACCCACAGGGTGTCTTTGCTATTTTGAAGTTGTAAATTGAGATTTCATCCCAACCACGACCACGACGACGACGACTACTACTATACTGCTGCTACTACTACTACGACGACTACTACTACTACTGCTGTGCAACTTCACGTGCTGCTGCTGCTGCTACTACTACCACTGCTACTGCTACTGCTACTGCTACTCCTACTCCTACTCCTACTCCTACTCCTACTAGGTCCTACTCCTACTACTCCTACTACTCCTACTACTCCTACTACTCCTACTGCAGCTGCACCTGCTGCAGCTGCTGCTGCTGCTGCTGCGGCTTTCCGAAGAATAGTCGCGGCGTTCTCAGAATCTGCCTGCACCTGGTGGGTCGTTTGGTTGGCTCTCCCCTCCTATCGCTCGCCAGCTCGGGGCCACACCTCACGCGGCCCAAGCGCGAGCTGTCCGTGAAGATCGCCGAGAAGCCGCGGCGCCAGCCCGGTTTTCAGGGGGGAGGAGGGCTGCAGGTGGAGGTGGAGGCTGGAGCTCAAGGATGGGTCACCGGAAGATTGGTATCACTGGTGTGTTGGTGGTCATCTGGAATCATTGCGCTCTTGCGGATCGGGTGTTTTTGACCACGGCCAGGCCTCAGCCAGAGCCTAGCATGGAGCTGGAGGAGGAGGAGGAGGAGGAGGAAGTCCCCCTCCCTCCAGAGATGGTTAAGGCTGGTCGACTGGCTGCAGAGGAGTCGGGCCGCGAAATAGTTTTCAAGGGGTGTTGGGTCTGGAGCCTGGAGTTTGGTTATGGCGACATGAGTGGAGAAGCTGTATGCTAGGCTTGAACCGAGAGATTCGCTACGCAGCAGTGGCGTGTCTCGCAAAACCTTCCATAGCTGCCAAAGCCAGGCAGAATTCATGCAAAACCAGCTGCTCGAGCCGGAGGTGGTGTGTTTTGTGGTCAGGAGCTCATTCTCTCTCTCTCTCTCTCTTCTTCCTCCTCTTCCTCTTCCTCCTCTTCCTCCTCCTCCTCCTCGTCTTCTTCTTCTTCTTTTTCTTCTGTCTTTGAAGAGCACGGAATGGCGGTCACCTGGTCGAGCGTTGGGGGTTGCGTAGGGGGCGTAGGGCCGGCGTAGACGTGACTCGGCCCGTGATTCATCTCGCTCGTGACTCGGTGGGAAGCGAGACGTTGTGGCTCGGCCCACGAGGCCACTTTTTCAAGCCTCTTTCAGGCCTGGCCGGGTCAGATGCAATGCAGAGCTGTCCTGACTGATATATATATATATATATATGTAGTCTTAAGTTTTAAGCATTCGGCACTTGGAATGAGATTCAGTACGCAACGCAGCCTTTAACCAGTTCTCATCCCTCATCCATCCTCGTCCATCCTCATCCCGTGTCGTTTGCACCACCGTACATGGCTTTTATAAGTATGGCCTCTCTGCTGACCGACCAAGGCGTCTCGCATCGTCTCGCGTCTCAACGCCTCTCGGGCGTTGACCTCGCTCGCCCGGTCAGGTGCTGTTCGAGGCCTACTGCGACTTTCCTCAAGAGCCGCGGGGCTACGGCGGTCACATGACCATCTCAGCCTTCTTGAGGCCCGGAGTCGCGGCTAAGGGAGGGCACCCACGATGAGAGACCGGGTTGGGCGACAGAGACGAGATAGGTGATTTCCCTCGGCAGGTTTTGTCCTGGGAGGTTGATTTAATGATGGAATGGTTGGGTGGATGCAGTGTATGCATGTTTCATTGCGCTTTGAAGTACTAGCCAGCTTAGAGACCAGCCCAACCGCTGCTTTTCCAGATCCGAGGCGCCCGAAAAAGGCGTGATTGGCATTTGGCCCTGCAAATCCCAAATGACGAGAATCAGACTCACTTCTGTGCAGGATCCGTTTTTGGATCACTTTGAGCGGCTTTTTTCACCATGATCTGTTGCGACCATGGGCCATGGGTCAAGTTATGTCAAGTTCCTTCGTGATCTGCAGACAAAGCGCAACCAAGCCTATAAGAGTCATTGAGACTGACAGATGAACCTGCTCCATGAAACGCCTTTACTTCCCCAAGCCTGAGAGGTGCCCAGAATGTGACAGGGTTTGGATCTGGATCGCCTTTTTTTCCCCCCAGGTATGCCCAGGATTTTGCAGGTGATCAAACCCCAGCAGGTTTTGCTTCGACTTTGGCCTTTTCTCTGTGATTGACCTGCAAACCTTGCAGTTGCTTGGCGAAGGAGTCTTGGGGAGCCGTAACTCGAAGATGCAAAACACGAGAAACCTGAGAATTGAAGTTGACTCGTATGGCCTCTTATGGCCTTCCGTGCGCTCCTGCAGGGCGCGCACAGGTCCAGAACCGGAAAAAGCCCCTCGCCTCTAATAGACCAACCAAAAGATTCGTTTCGGCGGACTGTTTGCCGCCGCTGGACGCCGCCGGCCCTTTTTGAGGCGCTCCTACAACCTCTGCTCGGAAGACTTCATCCCGGCGGAGCCGCAGCGACGGAAGCGGCGCACGAAAGGCGGGGCCGTGAGGACTTGGAAGCCGCGCGGGCGGCGGGAGGGCTTGGAATTGATGCTTGTGGGTCAGAGGCCTGGCATCAGCGGGACATCTCAGGTATATTGGGACCATTTTTTTTGGTCTCAGGAGACCAACGGCAGTCTTTAGTCAGTTCGTTTCCTCGTCGGCGATCCATCATTTAAGGTAGGCAATTTCGGCTGGAGACCCACCAAGCAGCTGTCCCGGGAGAGAGGAGCGAAGCTGGATCCTCCCAGTCCCTCCGGCTCCTCGTTACCCGCAGAACGCCTTGATCAACGCCCTAGCAGGCTCAAAAAGAGAGGCCAACGGCGTTTTCTTTTGGAATGGGCTTCAAGTGCCACAGCCAGCTGCCCCAGAGGGTGAGGAAGAGGGGCTTGGAGCCTTGCTGAGTGGACTTCGTTGGCCTGGTGGAGGGGAGAAAACGAGTGCTTGTGGCTGAGGCGATTTGAGTGGCTGACCAAAGAGTTTGCACAGCATGAGGCGGAGGAGACCCCACAAAACCGGCTTCTTATTTTTTTTGGTGAGGCCCAGGCGCAAGCATGGAAGGAATCACCTCAACATTTGTATCTTCAGTTTGGGTGTTGAGCAAATTGCATGCACCTCAACCAACTCACATAGACTGAAAAAGGAGCCCTCCATTCTGTCCGAGCCGTGACAGGACCGGAGCTGTCCGAGCCGTTTGCGCCTCGGTCCCACGTCGGTCCACAGGAGGCCGCCTGTGCCGGCGTGCTCGGAGCGATGCACGATTGGATGAAGGTGGGTGCACCGTGGGTTCGCGTTGGACGGCGACGGGTTTTTTGGCCGGTGAGGGGTTGCCGGGTGAGGGGCTGATCAGGTTAGATCACCCCTGGGAAAAAGGAAACACCGATGAGAAGCACATTTTGGGTCAAAGCAGATCAGCCAGGCCAGGCTCATTTGGGTGAAATGTTGCGCATGGTCAGTGAGTCAGTGGCTCTCAAACGCGGCCAGGAAAGCTGGATTGAAAACAGATGAGCTGCATCCAAGAGCTTCAGGCTCAAAATCTAAATACGTTTTGACCATCTGCGAAGGGTGCCATTTTCACGAGGCGCGTTTATGCATCGCTCCCCACACATGAACACACTGGGCTGCTTGACTTGCAAGCAATCCCCACTTTCCACCTTCCTCATGTGCACACAAACCGCCATTTTAGGTTCAAGATCATGTTCCTCTTCCCAGATGCATCAAGACCCTATCATCCAAAAGATGTTCACCCTCAGCCACCTACCTCTTTCCCATCCGGCCATGTGGGCCCGCGCGCGTGCGCGGCACCGCGCGTGGCCGTACGGGGCCATGGCCGTGGCGGCCCTGGCCGTGGCGCTGCGTGGCGGACGCTGCGGGTCACGTGCCTTTGCGGCGATGATCAGCACGGAGCGAAAGAAGACGCTCGGTAGGGAAGTGGAGAGACAGGGTGAAGAGGGACAGCCCGAGGTGGGGGAGAGGCCTTACATCGTTTCGTTGATTTTTCATTAGGCGAAGAATCGGTGAAGAACTTGGTCAAATTGTGGGAGTTCCGGTAGAGGAGGAGGTCCGTTTGCAAAGTGCTTCAGGGTGGATTCACAAAGGGCGGTATCGATATCGATGGGGCTCTTGTCGTTTGGAGGAAGGGTTGGAGGGGGTTGGCAGTCATTTCCATTCATTCCTCCTGCCTGCCACGCAGTTGCGTTTCAGTCACCCGAGGAAGATGGAGGAACGGAACTGGCAGGTCATTGGCAGCCATTCAGCTACGAAGCTCTGCCGTTGGACCAAATCCATGCTGCAGGGCAAAGGTTCGGGTGTGCAGGGTGTGGGGTGCAGGGCAACGTCTTCTTGAAAAGACATATACCAGGACCCTGCAAGGGGTGTCTATTTATAGTGTCCATTAACCACCCCTTGAAGGCCCTGGTATATACTGTATATCTTCAAGTATACTGTATCTAGATGGTGTTTGACAATTCAGGATGGTTACAGTAAATTTGGCGGTTTTTCCAGTTTAGTCTGACACCACTCCCACCTTGAAGCTCTGACAGAAGGATGAGAGGGTTTGTTGATAGAGGTCAAGACCTTAGATCAAACACTGTAGTGAGGCGTTTTTAAGACTTATTGTATTACGATGTCCCATTACCAGCAAAAGTTGTTAAAAGACTATCACGATTTTTGGGACATCATCATCATCACCATCATCATCCATTGTTTCTGGTAATTGGACATAGTAGAACTATAACGACTATATGTAACGCAACATTAAATTACGATTTGTTTTCATTTGCCTCGGAGGCGTGGGAATCCCCCTCAGGTGGTTGCTACAAGCACACCTTTTATGGGATCGCGTCGCACCAGTGTATGGAGCACACGCCCAATGTGGCTTGTGCAAACAAGTGCATCTTTTGCTGGCGCAACCACATCAACCCCGTGGCACTCGATTGGAAGTTTGACACAGACGATCCGGAAGAAATCTTGGAAGAGTCCTTGCAGAAGCATCTTCAGACCATCGAACAACAATGTTTGTCACCGAATGCGTTAGAGCACCGAAAGGAGGAAGCTCGACAGGTTCGACATTGCGCGCTGTCATTGGTGGGTGAGCCGGTGGCATACCCACGCATCAATGAATTCCTTGCAGCCCTTCACCGTCGTCGGATCTCCTCGTTTCTGGTGACGAACGGCCAGTTTCCGGAGGCCATCTCTGCTTTGGATCAGGTGACTCAGCTCTATTTGTCCTGTGATGGTGCAACTCCAGAGCAGCTGAAAACCGTGGGGCAGCCTTTGTTCAAGGATTTCTGGGAGAGATACTTGCAATCGATGGACATCCTGGCAACCCGACCTGAACGCACGGTCTGTCGTTTGACCCTTTTGAGGGGTGAGAACATGGCGGGACCTGCGCAGTGGGCTGAGCTGCTGCAGCGCGCCAAGCCGGACTTTGTTGAAGTGAAGGGGGTCACGATGGCAGGACTCTTCGACAGCCATGGCCTTGGAATGATGAACATGCCCACACATATGGAGGCCTCAGCCGTGCTTCTCAGACTCAGACGTTTCCCCAAACTCAGATGGCTAGTTGAAAGACCGAAACTGGCTCCTTTTTCAAGACTAAGCAGCTCCGCCCTCCACGGGTCCCGGGTCTCTAGCTCTTCCTCCAGGTGAAGCAATTCACCGAGGCGCTGGCCGAGCGGATGCCCGGCTACGCGCTCGCCTGCGAGCACGAGCATTCCAACTCGGCGCTCGTGGCCTCCGAGCGCTTCCGAGAGGAGTGCGGGGGAGAGGAGCCGGAGGCGGGATGGACTCAAGTTGTGTGGATGTGCCAGCTTGTAAGAACGCCATGAGACTATACAAAGTGCCTTGTAAGAGCTTTTAGTATGGGCTCCAGAAATCATTTTTGGCAAATCATTTTGGTAACTCCAGATCTGCAAAACTGACACACCCCACCAATCGTGCACCTGACACCGGCCCACCGAAATGGTGCGAACCTGCGATTGGGAAAGTGGAGCGGCGGGATAGATGGTTGACGATGACCTCTGGCAACAATTCACCGAGTTCAAGCGATAGAGTTGACCCTTGGGACTGAATCACCAGGAGGGAGGCAGCGAGGGCGAGTGGCGAACCTGGATCGACTTCGAGCACTTTGCGGACGCCATGGCTCGGCAGGAGCAGCTGACGGCTTTGGACTACACCAGGAACTGGGACTTTGGGTGAAAAGCTACCACACTTGTCTTATGTAGCTTTGAGGCCCTAAAACCATCATATCATGTTTGCTTGTTTTTTTTTGAAATTGCTTGTGTGATCTTGCGTGTATGTGTATGTCCATGTGCATGTGCATGTGTATCTACATGCAACTTTAGAGGCACACATTTCATGTACCAAGTCATCAAAACAGGTGCGCTCGGGAGGCCAGGCCGACCATGTTCCCTCCTCCAGCCAGGCCGACCCCTTCCTGGGCTTTGCTGGGCTCACCTGATGAGGGCTTCGCGCCCACCGAGCAGCGGAAGCGTCGAGCGCGAGCGCGGCCCGTGTGGTCGGAGGAGAAGGAGCACTGGCGTGAGGCGAAGGCGAAGGGCCGAGACAGTGAATCCGAGCAGTGAGAAATGGCGCAGGGTCGATATGAGGCCCCCAGTGCTGCCAATACCTGCGGGAAAAAGACACATGCAAAGGATTTCTGCCCTCTTCTGAATGGTGGGGAGTCATTTTTTAGTTTTGGCATCATGGGGCAGCTGATCATGCAGAGCTGTGACCGTTTTCAGGTCTTTAAGACCAGTCGTTTCAGGTTTCAGCTCGCGCACGGCACGAAGCCCGGGTTGCGCCGTTCGCGACGGGGTTCTGCCGCCGACGGGCGGCTCGGACGCGACACGAAAAGGTTGGAGCGGACTGCGACACGGCCGCGGACGACTCACGGATGTGCCGACTTCACTCGCGGTGAGCGGTGAGCGGTGACAATGTCAAGTACCATCGCCTGTGTGACCCCCGTTGCAGGACCGTGGACCTTCCCAGTGACCTGTTGAGATGCCAGAATGAGGCCAGTTAGGTCTTGAAAAGGTCACTGGCCAATCCTGAAGAGGTCACTGGGAAGGCCCTGGGACTTGACCTTGATCGACCCTACCGGTGCCAACCACGGGCGCCTTCGCCACTGGACCCACGATTCATGGCCGGTCCAAAAGCCGTGCGGCGACTCGTGCCAGGACAGGGCCTGGACACCCACCGACCTCTTCACCCTGCTGGACTGGGCGGGATGAGCCATGAGCCCGTGCCTGGTGACACATCGCCCACCATGCGATTGAACAAGAGGCCAACGGCTGCCCATCGCCCCTGTTGGGCCTCCACACCTTGGCCAAATCGGCTCCAATGGGGAAACTCGTGCTTTTGGTCGACCGTTCCGTACGGGTCATTTGGGCCACTTCGGCACTTTGCCCTTTGCCATGTCCCAATGCGCAGCGCGGCAGGACTGGAACTGCAATGGTGGCATTTGCGCTGAGGAGCTCATGGCAGGTGGGGTGTTGGCAGCGCCATGCAGGGCTTATATAAGCACGTGCTGGTGTGCCAATGACTGAGCTCCCGCAAATGCCTTTGGGACACCCTGAGACTATTGTTCCGCAGGCGTCCAGCTGATGCGCTTGGACAACCTTCCATGCCAGGAGGAGCTCCAGAGGCCTCAACTGCGTCAAGGAGAGTTGGGCATGATGTAGTATGTAGTGCATTATTTATGCACAACTATGTCTATGTACTACTACCCGGACATCATGTAGAACTATATGCAACTATGCTATTTGCGACAAACTGCCACGCGAATGTTTGGGGTTCCAGACTTAGCAGTGCGACCCAGTGTTTGATAATCAACTCGCAACTCCGATCACTCGAGAAAACACCATCAGTCACCGAGAAAAACACCTTCGAGATGAAGCAGTACACTGATCCATTTTGATTATTTTTGGCGCATGAGCCATTTTGCTCGTTTCAATGTCGTATTCTACTAGAACAACTGTTGGTCTAGATAGTCTCATGTGATTCATGCCGATGAAATGTTGCTTCTATACGGCGCCAATACGTCGTGTTCACGTACTTTTCTCACATGCCCAGTGTATTAATGTAGACTCTTGACCAACAGACCCGCCATATGACGATTATTTTCCAATTCGATTGGGGGGTGATATCAATCAAGCGTCTACATTAAAACAATCCTTACAAGACCTTCCATTGTTTTGTTGAGTCGTTGGGGCACTACGGCAAGCTTACCGAGAGGTACTGGACCAGTTTGAAGCATATCGGCGTATCGGCATATCAGCGCACATTGCCTTGTTAAACTCACCCACCCTATAGAGGTGTATTTTTGATTATTTGCGTATATGTCAACGCATTCAGCACGTGCATGCTGAAACGTGTATAATTAATATAATGCATCAGATTCGATTTTTTTTGGGCGGTTGTTTCTCGATCTGGACTCAACCTCCATCCCGAATTCCTTCTTATTGTATTGATATTTATTGGTCGATTGTCACGCTCTTTACACTCAACGGTGGGAGGGTCCCAAGTCAAAGCCTCAAGCATCTCGAAGATCTCTTCTGTGCATTTTCGCTGCTGGAAGAGCGCTCCAGGCTGGCCACCTTGCTGGTGAGTCAAGACACTGGGCACATCACGTCCTACGAGCTGCAACAGGTCACGGCACCTGATGTTTGACCGACGCAAGCGGCTTTCGTTGTCCATGTGCTGATGAAGCGAACATGTGGCGAACATGTGGCGAAGTGACATCCGGGGGGAACACGTCACCAGAACCTCCAGAAACACTGGAATTACCAGAAGCTCATCATCCTTATTCACTTGTCCAGCCTGAATGCGATCCTGCATGCGATCCAGTTAAGTCCAAGGTGCTTGCAATCATTGCCAAGCAGAAGCACAAGCTGGAACTTGTGCTTTCCTCAGGTTCTATTGAAGTGACTCAAGCTTCCGGCTCAAAAACAAGCAGCGGTGCCAAATCACTCCAACGTTGCTAAAAGTACTTTGAACTTGCCACGTGCCCCCCATCCGCCCCCCATCTGCGTTCGTTCATCTCACCCCACTGGCACCACCTCGACTGCTCCGGAGCCCGTGGTCCTCCTCCCGGCGACGACGAGGCGGCGAACTTCTTCCTCAAAGCCGATCAGGAGATGGGTCAGAAGCACTTACGGTGTCAGAGGCTCGATGGCACGGACGCCATGTCCTGAACGGCATGGGGGTCCAAATAACGTTCACCACCAACCTCCTGGGGGTCGTCTGTGCCATCGAACCTCTCAATCCACTATCAGGGAAATTCCCTCGATGGCTGAGGTCGGTGTCCAGCAATATAGGGATGGGTCAAAACCATGGAGCCCTGGTGAAAAAAGACAAGGTATCCTGGTTGTGATCCCACAGGCATACATTTCGGAGGTTTGGTTCCGTGGCTGGGCAACTGTGTCTTTCTGTGTGCTTCCAAGATCCGCCCTCCATTATTGGACTCAGAGATGCTCAAAGGCTGTTTCTCTTGTTTTGAGGACATGTCAGAAGTGGAAAGGAATGCCAGCGTCTTCTTCAAGGATCTTGTCAAGGCTCCACATCTTCACAATCGGGTGGGTCATTGGGCAGCCTCACTGACTCTGAGAAGACGTCTTTCCTTTTTCGGTGCATCTTCGTCTCACATCGCTGGGCTCCCTGGGACCTCTGCCAACGAGTGACATCCCCAGGTCATGGAGAAGAATTCCTGGACGCCCCGGAGGCTTTTCCAAGAATTGAGCAATGGAGGAAGTCAAGGTGCCACCATCACCAAGGACAAGCTGGAGGATAAGGTGCCGGGCATCGCCGGTCTTGGGAGTATCAGCTGGGGGTGGGGTGGATGGATGATGGGGGGAGTTTGGGAGTATCAAAGTTTGTTTGTTTCTTTGTTTCTACTTGCTTCCCCTTTTCGTGGCCAAGTCCTGCTTTTCTCAAGCTGTTCAATTATGGGTGGAGGCTGTTTGCTCGACACACCATTTTTGTGTCACAGGCATGCTGCTTCAGGACCTAGCCCAGGAGTCGAAACATGTCGAAACTGCCAGCTGGCCGGGACATGAAGATATATGGATAGAGAGAGGGCAGATGGACAGAAGGATGAAGGAAACGAAGGACAGAAAAGGTCCCAGGCCGATTTCTCTCTGCAAACATATCGGTGCATCCTGATATGTCTCTTAAGACTCTTAAGCCTTAACTGCTTTTGACGGCGTCTGTTTCGCGCGGACCTACGTTCGCACGCGGAAAAAAAAAAACACGCACCGCGCAAGACGCGTGTCTTGCGTGTTTTCTTTTTTTTTCAGGCCAAAGTGCTGATGCGTTTGCACTGTGGTCGCACTGCCGGCTTGGAAGTGGCCGAGCCCTTTGAGATCTTGGATTTGAATGGGGACCGGCCTCCGGGATGTGATGGGGTCGGGATTCGATGGAGGACCAGTGAACAAAATGCATCAAATCATGACGTTAAGGTTTGTCACTAGAGGCTGTGAAGCTCTTTTTAAGGGTGAGGTTGTTTGAGGTTGCAGATGATGTGGTGCACATTCATCCACGAATCACATGATTGGACCCCATGTCTCTCACGATTCGAGAGACCTTGATTCGATCGCAGGATGGCGTCATCGAGGAAGACGAATTCTTGTGCATCGTGGGGCAGGTCCTGAAGGCCTTGAAAGGTTGGAAAACCCTTGAACGGCTGGTATCGACAGGTCAATTTAAGTTATAAGATTGTGTAATCTGGCCATGACAAAAATAGACACACTATCCAATCAAGGAGGTCAAAGACCAGGTTTTCTACAAGTCAGACTGGACTTGTAGGGGGTCATTCCTGCACCAAGTCCTCCCCATGTGCTCCGAAGTCCTCCTTTGTCTCATAAAATCTTGTATAGTAATGAGCCTCCTTCCCAGGACAGTCTAGCCGACTTAGGATTTAGATCGAAAGAGGCTCCAATACTCATGCATTGATACGCTTTGAACATGCATTCACGCCGTGTTTTTCGACAGGGTTCGCTCCTGTCGCACCCGTTTCTGATGGATCCGTGTGCACCATGGACCGACACAGCGTCGTTCACGGCTCATGGGATGTCAGGCTTTGAGGACGCGCGGGGCCTCAAAGTCCCGGACGTCGGACCAGGCAGAACGACGAGGCACCTGGTGATGTGGATGGGACGCCCCGTTTTGGAAGACCGTTGTTCCTGTTATACGAACAGGGCGGTGCATCGACACCAATCCATGTGGTTTGGTGTTCGGTCAGAGTGTTTGGTCGCACGATCTGGCGGCCTTGGTGCGGCCATCGGTCTCCGACACCAAGCCGACGCCAAACCGCCGCCAAACGATGAGCCTGGCTCACCCTTCTGACCCGGTCGCAAGAGCGGTCGGAAACCTTACCGTGGCTGGCGGGGGATGGCCGTTGCTTGACTGGTGCGGCGTCGTGTCGGGAAGGAGGAGGGCTTTCTGAGGGTGGCTGAAGTTCGAGAGATTCCGGATCCAGCCACCCTCAGCCACCCTACTTGCACCGTCGCACGAGTCAGTCGCCTGAGGCAGCACCGGGAGGGCAAGCAGCGTCGGCAACTACAAGCTGCGGTCACGGCCGTGGCGAAGAGCTGGTCAGTGTCCACCGCCCGGGTGCGGCGGGCTCCGGGGAGGGGGCAATTCACCAGTGGACCATTTGATCTAGTTGGGTGGATGAGTGGTGGTTCATGAGTGTGATCGTCACCAGGGTGACATACCAGTGGGGCAACTCATGAGGTTTGAACACTCGATGGTTCAAGTTCCACACGGAGCCGAAGCCGCCGGGAACCCGCGGTGGGATGTAGGGCGTTGAGTGTCTATCGATGTGTCCAAACGATTGGTCGGCTAGATGAGCTCGGTTTTCTGATGTGTTTTCTCAGGTCCTTCGAAACGTCCTGGCATGCCGATTCACTTTCTCCCACCTTCTCCTGATACAACTATATAGTTTGGCAAGATGACCAGTTGGTTGGCTGATTGCGTGCCTGCGCCCCAGTACTGCGGGATGAAGTTTTGCTCCTACGCAAGTGCTTGTAGAGTTGCTGGTGTCCCGTTTTATCCTCCTGCAGGCTCAAGCGGCCTCAAAGCAGGGGCACGGTGCCCAAGGAGGTAGTGAAGACGGCCTCACCAGGAATATGAGTGATAGTCATGATGTTTGTCGTATGTGGGTGACCATGGTAGCAAGTGGATCGAGGAAAGCACACCGTCTCGGCCTCGCCTGTCCTGACCGTTTGGAGGCTTTGAGGTGGAATCCGATCCGGATCATGTCGACCGTGATCGCACCTAGCCTTGATATGCCATCCTCAAGACCACTTAGCGGCCACGCAGAGAGGACCCCCAAATCTCGCATGCTGCAGCCACCGTGTACCTCTCACTGCCACGTCTTTAGTTGAGGGCTCACTCCCTGAGCTGGTCCAAGACATCGTTTGACTGGAGCTGGTCATACAAAAACACCACTCGAGATGAGGTTTTCAGGATGCGGTCAACTTGGCACCAGGTCAGACTGGACCTGTAGGGGTTGGGGGGTTGGGGAGGGGCCCAGGCTCGGGTCTGGTGACGGTCCAGATCTCGACCGGTACCCAATCGGCACGGCGCGCCGGCACAGGGTGAGGTTCAGCTTGGCCTCCTTCATCGAGTGCCTGCTCCTCATAAGCTATGAGGTCGTGGGGATCCGGGGCACGCCCACACAAGCTCAGCAGCCCAGTATCACCAAGGCTGGCTGGGAGCGTGATGGGTTGGGGCACGGATGGGTGGGCTGGATGGGTGGGTCGTGGAGGGTCAAGACCGCTTCAGGCCATTGACTGCTTCCGGCATCTTCAGGTTTTGGGCAGAACCATGGCATTGGTGGTTTGGGGAGACCGGCGATGGTTGACTTCTCTGCCCCCGTCGCCGGTCGGATGCGATGAGTCCGTCTGTCTGTCTGTCTCAGGCCGTCTGGCTGATCCTCTACTTGCGATGGCAATTTGAGACGAAGCTCAAGCAGGTCAGGTCGAGATGGTCCGGCGAAAAGCCTCGAGACGGGGCATGTGAGTGAATTGGCATATGTGGGTGGCACTTCGGTTTGGTGAGGCACGATTCACGATGAACAGCTTCGATTTGAGGGGCGTTTGGGGGGCATGCGCAATTTGTACGCAGGGATTTGCCGTCGACTGTGCTGCGAGGAGACCGCGCGAGTGGAGGAGGAGTTAGTTGGGGAGCCAGAATCAAGAAGTGCTTTTCTTGCCAATCTTCAAACACAAACTCAAATAGATACCGCAAACAAGTAACCAAGTCTCCAATACTATACAGTAGAGTATGCTGCAGCTACATATCTTAAAACAATACATACTTTTTGTGCTTTCCTGTGCTCGTGATCTGTTCTATTCTCACTTTCGACATTGATTGGCTGGGTGGGGGGCTTACGGATGCATATATATATATATATTTGGATTTGTTTGACGGTTGTCCCGAGCCGAAACCGGGGTTTCAGATGGTTTCAGGAGTAGATGGCGCAAATGATCCCAAGAGGTGGCTTATATGGACCCCTTCTTTTACACGACATCTTGGGGTGGCTGCCAGTGCCATCTACTCTCAATCCACTGTATGTGTGTGGAACTTGCTGACTTGCTGAACTTGCCCGCCTTCCATGGAGTCAACTGTTGGACTGGTGCTGACTGTTGGCGCTGTCTTTACCATCTCATCGGCACAATCGCCACAACAACCTAGCTGATCAGAAAAAGGGCTGAATCGCAGAAGGAACAAGTCACCCATCATGTTCCTGGAGTTTCAGGCTTCTCCCTTGCCATAATTGTAACTCTTGCTAGGGGCCAAGAGCGGGGTGTTTGTTCAGTGGCTTGTCATGGGATTTTCAGTTGTGTGGAAGCCAGATCCCTGATCTCAAAGGTACCGAAGCTCCCAGCCCATTCACAAGTGCTTGTGTTTCCACCAGCTTGAGGGGAGAGGGCTCTGGGCCTTCACTGGCTTTGTTGCAACATGAAACGGTAGATGATTCAAGCATATTCAAGCCAAGAACACGGCCTCCCAAAGGCTCCTGGTTGCGAGAGACCCTCAAGAACGCAGCAATCCCCGAGAAAACGTCGCGACCCAAATAAGCTCTGCAAAAAAAAGAAAAGGCGGACTTCGTGTCATGCTGAAGACCTTGAGGCCTGGGCCAGCCTCCTGGGCATCTCTGAGAAGAGGCACAGATTATATAGACCTTGTGATGAGGAAGTGGACATATCTGATGGACACTTTTTGTGTTTTTATGTCCCTAGTATGGACCGGTACATTTTCGGCGATGAGCTGCTGTTCATGGAGTTTCGGACACACCCCACCTGCCCACTTTTCGCCCCAAATCCGCCCACCCCCACACTGCCTGCGCCACCCGCTGTAGTTGGACCTCCCAAAACACACCCACCCGGCACCGTGCCGGCATTGCACCGTGCACCGAACCCGCACCGGGGCCACCGGCCACCGGTGGGGGCAGGTCGCTGAGCCGTTATGCGCCGCCCTTGGAGCGTCTCTTCCAAAGGCCTCGCCTCTTTGAGGTGCACCGCGAGGCGCGGACCGAGGGCGAAGGCGAAGAGCGGCGTCTGGGGTGGGCGTCGGAGGGAATGCGAGGGCGAAGGGGTGACGAGGTGGTCAGGATCTACAACGAAGATCATAGAAGTAAGGTTTTTGGTGCCAAATCCTTTTTCGAAAGGGAAGCTTCTGGGAGTGTGTGAGCATGGGGCAGCATTCTGATGGGTCAAGGAGTCAATGCCAAATTTTCGGAGAACCGTTGCGCGCAAACCGGCTTGATTGCTCAAAGGGCTTGGCTCCAGGGCGCCCAAACAGCCAGAAACAATCTGAAACCAAATGGTCGTTTCCTTTTATAGGGCCATTGACCATTGATATGGGAAGTGGCCTGGTTTTTTGGGAAACGTCCAGGACTGGGTAACCACCCTGTGCTCCCCTGAGTCACGCACGTGTCGCCCTCGCGGACCAGGCTTCCGAGCGTGCTGCGCAGGAGCGGGTCCCGTGACACCTGGGACCAAGTGGATCCAACTCAGGGTCTCCAACAGCGGCTTCTCTTGATTTCAAGACTGCAGAGAGTAAAGGACACGCAGGGGAGCACCCTCGGAGACAGAGAGAGAGAGAGAGAGAGAGAGAGAGGGGCAGTCGAAGGATGATCCATCTGGACTAGCTGTGACTCGCCGGGCTGACTTGGGGCTTCAATTTTTCAAAGTCACCCAGTGGTCACCTCGAAGACCCTATGAAAAGCTGTTAAGAAGGACATGGAACAAAAGAACGGGCTGGGAAGGACGTGGAGTGCAGTGGATGTGGTCGAACGGCACACCTCGGTGCCTTGGCGAGAGAGCGGTGTCGACATCGTGGTCGGCACGCAGACTGGGGTATATACTGTATAGGTATATATATGTATATATCCCTCGGAAGCCAAGGCTCAGCCAAACAACATTAATATACATTGTATAGTATAATGTATTAGATAGATAGATAGATAGAGAGAGAGAGAGAGAGAGAGAGGCAGGCAAGGTAATTGATGTGATGTGGAAAACTGCATCTAAGCCACGGATCCGGAGGATTTGTGCCACGGATGTCTTGAGGGGACCCCTGTAGTTCTGTTTGGTTTGCGTCTCGAGCCGGTGAGCTGGCGGAGGCTTTGATGTTCGAGTGGTTGCACTAGTGATTTCAGGACATGATGAGCTAGTGTATAAGTCAATAGCGAACGCAGATCCAAACATTCAGTGGATCCAAACCTTTTGCTCCTCAGAACCCCACACGCTTCTCATCCACATGGGACCCTACGACTGGCTCGCGAGATTGATGAGGGTCCGCCATTTTCTGGGTGTCCATCAACCACCTTTGGATGCTTCAGTCTCACGCGCGCGCGAGACACGCGTGAGGGAGGAGTGTGACCTGTCCCCAGTGCTCCGACTTGGCGGACGTGGCGCTGAAGGCAGCGATGGTGGGTCCACTGAAGGCATGTTCTCACTTTTCTTGGGGGGGAGGCGATGGAGTCGACTGTTGTCTAGCAATTTGGGCACGATCGATTGCACTCCAGTCACGTTCCAGTCACGCTCTTCTGCGCATGAAGGCCTGCACGGCATCCTTCAAAGTTCAAAACACGAGATTCTGGTCATTCATCTGACTGGTGCTTGGCAGGGAATTAGGGGATGAGCCCCCAATAGAGATTCTATTGGATCCATTCCCTCATTCCGTACTAAGCACCAGCCAGTCATGCACGCAGCCAGCCACCAGAACTTTCTCCAAAGTCAAGGAGTCGAGATGGCACTGCCACCCGACCAAGGTTGAGTTTTGTGAGGAGACATAGTCGACACGCCGTCGACACGGCAAGTGTGGCCACTTTCATCACCATCATTACTTAGTGATTTGGCAGTTCCCAGAGAGGTTCAACAGCCTTATAGCCTATCCCATATGTACCACTACGGTCTCTCAACCTCTCTTGGTTGTTTGTAGTGATATCCAGTCTGCCACGCTGCCCTTTTTTGACTCCAACCGGAGGCATGTTGGAAAAGCCACAAGGCTGCCTGTCGGGCCCGATGGTTGGGTCTATTGGGCACTGCGTGGAGGAGAACCCCAAGCCAGAAGACCTTCCTTCCCGGGGCGGTGGCATAAAGACAACACCGTGTTCCTGGAACACGGTAGCCGTTCCGTCCGGCGGGTGGAGGGAGTCCAACCAGTGACATGGGGCACGGTGACCAACCAGAAGATTGACACGAAACGGACCCCTGCAAAGCTCAAGCGAACCATACCGGCTGGCAAGCTGCGAAAGCGAAAAGCTTGAGGTGAAGTATCATGAGGTACAAGTCTTTTGGTCGCATCAAAGCAGCCAAAGCAGGAAGCGAAGCATCGCCTCTGGCTGTCCGGTTTCTTGCGGACGCAACAACGGGCCAAAGACTCCACCAGGGCTGCGGACGCACAGGCGTGTGCTGGCCAACGCGTAAGCCTCATCAAGTCCTTGCTGTTGGGGGGCCCTAGAAGGCCCTAGAAGGCCCTAGGGCTCATGGAGGGCAAAGAAGATGGGCCGAAAGAAATGATACGCAACCTGAGGAGAGGGCGGAGGATAGCAGCGTGCCCCTCCTTCCAGAACATAATTAAGACACACACACACACATATATAGATATACATATAAATACACGTACATATAATATATATATATGCACATACACACACACACACATATATATATTATATATATATATATATCTTACATATATATATATATTTGTGTAGACTGGCATGGAAGCACGGGATTTCCTCTCACTTAAGCACACAAGTTGATGCACTGATGGCTGGACTTCCATGTGTTATGGCAGTTATGGCATTCTACGGTCCTAGGTGTTGTTGGTGGATGGTCAGAAGCCTGTACCCGGGCCCCGCACCACTAGAAAGAATGAGGTTTGGCTGCGTGACCTGCTGCCCTGAGGTTGCTGCGGCCGCCCCGTGTGGATGAAGCTCGAGATGAAGAGATATTGAGTTAGTGAAGGAAGCCCTTCTTTTTCTGAAGGAAGGAGGGCAAGTAGTTGACCGAGTAGTTTCTAGGACAAGGCCTCCGTTAGCTGAACACCTGCCGGATTCAGCGGCAGCTTAGGGCAAACCTGGCCTCTTTCTGGTGAAGAGACTACGGAGAGTGCAGCTGGTGCTAATTTATCAACGCCCGGGAAGATGACACATGTCACATATAAGATTGGGAAAGGGTTCACTTGTTGCAACAACCTGCGCCTCTGGCACGTTTGGACACCTCCTCAAATTCTTCACTCCTCCGCCCTGGCTTTAAGGGCTTGGGCGTTTCACATTGAAAGGTGAGCGGCTGGGCTCGCAAAGAAGCGCAGAAGTCACGCGGACCACGGTGTGAAGTAGCTTGGGCTGCTTTGCTGGAATGCTGGCATTGAGATTGCTTGGTGATAGGCTTGAGGCTCAGTATCATGGACAACTATGAAAGTGCGCCATGGCTGAGGAGCAGTACTCAAGACCCATCAAGACCCCCAAGATTGCATCCGACCCTTAGCTACTAGCACCCCACCCATACCACCCATACCACCCATACCACCCACCCCACCCATACCACAATCCCTGTAGTCTTCGTCCAAAACGGTGCCCTTCACCCACGTCTGGCCGGCCGCTTTGGGGCGTGACCAAAGCGCCGGTCTCGGCCGCATGCCGGACGCCGTGGAGACGCCTCTCTCCGGCCATGAGGCCGCACCTCGGCCTTCGGTGGGGCCTTCGGTGGGGCCTTGGAGCCTTTAGATTTGGGTCAGATTTTTTGGGGGCATGAATCCTATCATTCTGTAGAGAAGCGTCGCGATTTGGGTAAACCATGGTCCACTAAGAGCCAGGCTCCCCAAATATACAGTCGCAAGAAGTGCCACAGTGGCACATGCATTTCCAGAGTCATCACCTAATTGGGAACGCTGCAGTTCAGGGAGCACCAACGACCGGCTCAGTGAAAGATCACAATGACTCTCCTGTCAGGTAGATGACATGCATGGGGCTTAACAGGACTCCCCATTTGTTCGCTCAGACGTTCGTCGTGCTCAGACGCTTGTTCCAGGCTTCTTCACCATGGCTGAGGTTGAAAGCCTAGTTGGGTGGCCCAGATGCGACACGCAACGACGTTTGACACATTGACTGGGGTGGAGGTGAGTGTCCTATACCCTTGCCAAGGCTACAAGGTGACAAACTAGTTTCACACAATCCTAGTTCTTCCCCCTCCTCAAGCGTCCATGGCTTTCGCCTACCGCAGGGACCCCGATTATCAAATGACCGGCACTTTAATTTAAGGTGTAAAGTCCGGACCTCCTCCTTCCACCTCCTTCGCGGGGAGTTCCTCTGAACGGTACCCCCGGAGGCCAGACACTTCCACATGTTTTGGCCAGACCGCCCATGAGGGAATTTTGCTGAAGTTTTGGGTCTTTCGATGCTCCGGTGGAGGCTGACACAGCCTCAACCACGCCGGGTGCGACATGGGAGTGCTTCAGAGAGGCGTGCTTGGGAGCGGAACGCATCGCATCGGAACAAAGAGCACAGCGGGTTTTGATGTCAAAAAGGGTCCAAGGTGGCGGGAAACAATCACATGGATTCCAAGTAGTTATATGTATGTAATGTAATGTAATGTAATGTAATGTAATGTAAGGCCAACATTGAACTATGGGGGGTAGGGGGGTGAATTCTGCAAGGGTTTGAATAATTCGTCCACCTACGGTATGTCACTTCGGGCTTGAAGCCTAAGTCATCCGCGCCCAGCATATGTGTTATATACACATTAGATATAACTGTGAAGTTTCGACCACCAGTTCACAAGCGCATGTCATGAATGCTCGCCATCCCTTACGGATCAGGTGCGCACAGAGCCTAGCTTTTCACTTTAGCTTGCGCTGGAAAACATGCTGCGCTGTTTGTCCGGCTTTGTGTAGTGGATTTTGCACCCACTTCACTCAGTTGGCACCGGAGCCGCCATGGACGCTGAGGACCTTTCTTTACCTGCCGGTTGGTCGCCTTCAGAACTGGCAGAGTTGGAAGCACTGCACGCGTCTGTGGACGATGACGATCCAGGTGCGACATCTCATTGGCGATGCCTGAGGTGTCATTCGTCGCATTGGTCATTGGTTGCCCCGGCTTCGTACACCTGTGACAGTTGTGGACATGATGAGTTTTACAACGCCCATGCCCCGACTCGGCACGAAACAGGTGACGGGGTTTGGATGTTTGTGCCAAAGGCTGATGTGATGCCCGCCGAAGTTCCACAATCCGACTCTCCCTGGAGGCCAGCGGCCGAATGTTCGGATTCCGTGCAGGGAGAGAAGGAGCGTGATGATCCGGCGGAAGCCAGTCCTTCCTCGGTTTACGAGTGGCCCTCTGTTGATTTAGATCCGGAGAAAGCATCCTCAACCTCGAGTCGAAGGAGGCGCAAGAACAAGACCACTGTGCAAGCAGATGATCAGGATCCTACTAAGCAGTCATCACCGACTTCACCCTCCGCTAAGCAGAAGCCCAAGCTGAACATGTCGCCTAAGGCGAAGACAGGCACATCAAGTTCGGAGCTGGTTGACGCCCTCCGACAGTTGCTGGACGAGCGACGAGCCGATTCGGCATCCGACAAGTCGTGGAACTCCCGTAAGGGACCTGCACCAGGACTGAAATGGCGCGGCGGCTCTCCTCCTCAGCCGCCAAAGTGGCAATACCAGTCGACGGACTTGAGGGCGTACGCAAAATACGAAAGAAGAGTTCAAGTATGGCAGATGCAGGTACAACATTACCTCACAGGAGCCGAAGCAGCATTGATGTTGTTTTCATCGTTGTCAGGCGAGCCGGAGGCCGAAGCAGAGCATATGGATTTGGAAAAGGTCAACGCCAAGGACGGCGTATCCTACATCTTGTCCTGCCTCAAAGGCCCGCTTGAACAAAAGTTGCTTTACCAGAAGCGCATGCTGTTGTCAAACTATGAGGGTATCTCCAGGCAAGGTCATGAGACCATACGACAGTTCATCAACAGATACAAACGTGTTGAACGGGACTTGCAAAGTGTTGGAATCAGTTCGGCTGCCATGTACGACAGCGAGTCCAGAGGAAACCGTTTGTTGGAACGTTGTCGTTTGGACCCTCAGTTGCAGCGGCTTGTGTTGATCGGTGCGCAAAGCAGTTTACAATTTGACAACATTGTTGACAGCCTCAACCTCCAGTTCCCGGACTTTCGTCCGACCCCTGCTGTGTACCAGCCCGGTAGTTGGCGCCAAGGTGGAAGCAGTGTTAGCTCCAATAGCCATCACAAGGGCAGCGGAAAGAGTTGGTCAAGCAGCACATCCACCAGCGCCTCATCCACTGTTCCATCCTCAGCCTCGGCGTACAATCGTGGCAAAGGCAAAGGCTTCCCAAGGAAGGTCTTTCAGACTGAACACGAGCCTGTTGAAGAGGCCGAGCATGAGGAGGAGGTTCAAGAACCGCTGACCGAACATGGTCAGGAGGAAGAGTTCTTTGAGCCGCTTGAGGATGAACCGGACGCCTCACCAGGCGATAGTGCAGAAGCGGTCGACGATGATCTTGGAAACTCATTGAGCGAGTTGGCATCAGTTTTGACAGTGACATCAAACAAGCTCAGAGCAGCAACACTTGGTCGGAAGTTTACAGGTCGTAAGAGCATTGAGGAACGCAAACGCACATCCACTTGCTCAGCATGCGGGGCCGTTGGTCATTGGTCGGGCGACCCCGAATGTTCGATCTCATCCAAGGGAGGTGGCAAAAAGAAGGGAAAGGGCAAGCCGGCAGGAGGGGCTCCTTCATCATCCGGTACCTCGTCCAACTACCCCAAGAAGACCTTCGTTGTGACCTATGGGGATGAACAGCAGGATGACCCTACAGACCCTTCGGACACCTTCTACACCTTCATGACCAAGAGCATTGATAGTGAGATTGTTGACACTGTTGACACGTCGGCATTTGTTTTTGTTGCAGAGTCCATTGACCTTTCAGGCTATATGGTATTGGACACAGCATGTCAACGGTCGTGTGCCGGAACCAAGTGGATGCAGACCCATGAGAAACTCCTCAACAACCATGGTTTGGTGTGCCACCATGAGCCTTGCAAAGACCGATTCCAATTCGGCGCAGGAAGTTGCCAGACGGCCCTCGGCAGATGCTACTTCCCAGCAGCCTTTGCAGGCCAGGTCACTCAGGGATTGGTGTTGGGAGTCAGCATCCTGGATTTGCCCATTCCGTTTTTAGCAAGTCGCATCTTGTTGGAGCAGTTGGGTTGCATCATTGACATGAGTCAGAACGTTCTGCACATGACAAAAGTTGGTGTTTCATTGCCGCTCCGTCGTCGACATGGTCACATTGTTGCTTACATCAACGCCTTTCCAACACAGGTTGCCAAGTTGTCTTGTTGGAAAGAGTTGGAACATGAGTGTTTTTGGGACAAACCAAGTCCTGAAGTTGTCGTGCACCCCGAAGCTGTGATCTCTCAGAGTTCGACCGACGTTGACATCCACGCCGCCTATGCATCGCACCAAGCAAGCTCCAGAATGGCTGTCGGCTTGGAGGACCATCATCCTTCGGGTCCTCTACCTGGAGTTCAACTGCCTGAGACAGATGGCTCGCTTGGTTCGGCTGTGTCTTCGCCCCCGGTCATGGTTGACCTTGGCGGAGGAGCAGGAGCTCAAAGAGATGCATCGAAAGGACCTCACAAGGCCAAAGGTGTCTCAGAAGCACTGCACGCATCCAGAGTTCCAGAGGTACGGCAATGCCCACGGCCGATACAGCCGATGCAAGAGGTGCGATCTCAAGTTCAAATGGCTCCCCGAGCACGAAGCATGTGTGGAGTACTCACCAAAATCCTCCAGCTCCTCAGCGCTGCCGTTGCCTTCGGCAGCCAACATCTTGGAGAAGGGTCCCTTGGCCATGAGAGCAGCATCACCCAAACGGGTCTTCAAGGGCAAAGGGAAGAGCAGGATGACAGCCCCAGCTCCCTCCAGCCGCAGGACTTCTTCGATGTCCGTGAGCAGTGCCAGTTCGACCAACAAGGCACAGCGCTACGACATGACGGCACAGGACTACGACAATTTCCTGCAGACCGGGCTCACCAAGGAGGAATATCACGAGATGATGGAGACGGTCAACTCGGAAGCATTCCCCGACTCCGAGGATCCAGACGGCTACCCGGCGGACGGCTGGGAGTGGTGAATGACCCAGGTCAAGATGGCCAGGACAAGGACTTTTGGGAAAGGTCGAAGACGAAGTACATTAGGCATCACATCACCCCAAGACTCCTGCTATTCCAGCTCAACCCAGCAGATTGTCCTGTGCCCACTCACCTTTTGGTGCCAGAATGCCGTGCAGAGGTTCAATATGAGGATGGGACATTTGAAACCATCACGTACCCATGGCAGTCACACCAAGACACTCAGCTTCCGAAGACTTGGACTGGAAGAACCGTCTTCACTGTGACCAGTCCATCCAACCATTCCACGAACCTGCTCACCAATGCTGGCAGAAGGGCTCTTCGCACCAGCATCCGGCAGGCTCACCAAGTCTTCTCCATTGAGTATGCCATGGTGAACCAGACCGTCGATGAAAAGCCTCTGAACATGCACAAGATTCGGGCCAGCCGGTCCAAAGTTGATGTCTTGGAGACATTCGCAGGCAGCGCCAACATCTCCAAGCGCTGTGGAAGATTCGGGCTCTCAGCGGCTCAGCCCATCGACTTTACCACAGGATGGGATCTGAATAAGCCCGCAGATCAGCTACAGTTGGAGCAGCTCATCGGAAAGCTGAAGCCACTGGTGCTGATTCAAGGAATCGATTGTCGTGATTGGACGATCTTGCAGGACAACTGCAACTATGTCAAGAGAAAGATCTTGCTGCTGATGAGAAGGGCAAAGGCCCGCAAGCTGCTGAAGAAGATTTGTCAATGGTGCAGACAACAGCACCAGGAAGGCCGCCTCTTCTTGATCGAGAACCCCATCACCAGCAGATTGTGGCAAGAGGCTGACATCCAAAGCCTTCTCAAGCTCGACGGAGTGATGACCACAACTTGTCATTCCGGAGCATATGGTGCCACCAACTCCAGAGGCCAGATGATCAAGAAAGGATTTAGGTTCATGGGGAACTGCCCTCACATCTTGCACCGCCTCACCAGAAAGCTGACCCCAGAACAGCTACACCAATGTGTGCCGATCGAAGGCCGCGAGACTAGACTGTCACAGGTCTATCCTCATGAGATGGTCACCCAGATCCTTCAGGGCATCCAGCAAGAGGTCCACCAACGGTACCCAGACCGAGGCATCAACAGACCACAACAACACCACCAGGTCTGGATGACCATGGCTCCAGAGGCCTGGCAGGAGGCATTGCAGATGGCAGAAACCACCTTCCAAACCACAAGGTACAAGAGCTTTGTGTTGCCAACCTCAGATCCACTGTTCGCACTCACACTGAGGCTCACCCAGTGGCAACACATGGAACGAGTCCAGATCTCCCTGCAGCCCATT